GGACTCGAACGTAGTACCTTTCGCTTCAAACGCCATCGTGTTATTCAGTAAGCTACTGAGTTCTGATAGCCGCTTGCTTATGCAATGGGGGTGAAGTTTAAATTCACTTAATATTGTTTGTTTGAATCTTCCCATTGATGTTTAGGACTGCAACTGGTCAGTCTCTAATTGACATAGGTGCATACTGTGCGTATTGCCTCGATATAAACGCGCGTCCTGTATTCCATTGCTAGCCACTATCCATCTTTGCTTATAATGCTTGTGAATTAAGGCTATATCGAGGCAATACGCACAGTATGCACATATGCCAATTAGAGACTGACCAGTTGCAGTCCTAAACATCAATGGGAAGATTCAAACAAACAGTGCTAAGTGAATTTACAATGTCATATAATTTCTATGTATTAGTTCACTGTACATAATAACTTAACAAATAATTACAGAAACCTATTATTTATTTTCGTATATTTTAATAAATATAGTGTGTCAAGCACTGAACAATAATGATAATACAGAGATTTTATGTTTCAAAAAATAATTATAACTAACTTTAAACCATGATTAGTAGATTAATGTAAACAACCATTTTGGTACCATAAGTGTGATGGTTCTCATCAAACTTAGATATTTCTATCAACTGATAAATTTCACCAACAATGCTTTGTTCAGTATTCATGATTCATCTTTAATAGAATCATGTGTACATATACCGTCAATTCTATTTAATAAGCACATTATCAATTCTCGTTTGTATTGAACTGGGTAATAACGATGAATACTAATATACTAACCTATACAAGTTGATCCTCTGAAAAATGATTAATTTAGAGTACACTATCCTCTAGTTCAATTATAAATACACTAAGAAGGAAAGTTAGTTATTCATCTCCACTTTACTAATATATATTCCAAATTTATCAAATAGACTAATTATTTTAACTATTTATTAATTTTGACAAAACCAGGTTAATTAGAATAATTAACCAAAAATTAAAAAAAAAAAGAATTTTTTTCATTTATGTGTTACTAGGTAAACACAAATACTTATTTGCTTACTTTTATTATTATCAATAAAATAAACAAACAAACAAGTAAACTAAGGTGAATAGACAAAAAACAAGTTAGCAACTAAAAATATCTATGTATATTATTAGCAACAAAAAAAGGGGGAAAACAATACAATATTAATATTATAAATAATAGAAGAAAAAAAAGAGTAAATAGAATAGATTAAACTATACGCTCGAATGTTTTCAATTTTATCATTAATCATTAATATAAGTATTACTTTAGATAAATAAATAAAATAAAAACGAAAATTTTCTTTTTTTTTTATTTTACGGTTGATTGAAAGAAAAACTCATTTACTAATGATGATTTAGTAAGAAAAAAAAATTAATAAAAAAATAAATAAACAAGGTTAAAAATAATGTACGATTATTAGGTTGATTGGTAATTAATTAACTTACATTTACATTACATACTATACTATACTCTATTTGATGATGATGATGATGATTAGTACAGTTTTATGGTCAACAATAGTAAGTGTAATGTATATAGATAGATAGATAAATAGTTTTATATATAAGAATTCATTTCTTAATAGAGTATTAATTAAAAAGGATTACCCTACTTTTTCTATTCATCATTTTACTGAATAATAAATAATGACCTGAAAATGGATTGAATATATATCAAGTGTAAAAAGTTAATTTTTGTTTGTGTTTTTTTTTTAAAAATTTTTAGTTTAATGCATATACTTTTTATACTAAATAACATTATCTTTAATGATAGAAAGGGATAATTTTTCTTTTTTTTTTCTTTGAATTCCATTTAAGATGAAATTAATCTAGGTATTTCCTTGAATAATCTTGGATTAGATTGCCGGATGAAACGTTAGATTTACTTCATATTCATTCAACTGAGATTTTACAGATATATTCTTCTTTCTATTTAATATCTTACATCAACTCAGCTCCTAAATACTGTGAAACGATTTGCTCTAATTTAGACAAAAGTTCTTATAAAATTAAACAAGATTTACCCAAAAAGTAAACAATAATAGAAAAACAATTATCTTCTCTTTTTCATTGTTTTATTTTGTATGCATTTATAATTTTGTAAAGTAATGATAAGTTAGAATGTACTAAACTGTTATTATCTTAATTTTTTAGAATCAGCTTGTACAGGTTAGTGAACGGCGGTTTGCCCCCAAATGCCCTGGTACAGCCCAAAGTGGAACGAGTTCACTCTACCTCTAATAAATGCTCTCACATGGCCACGTGTATATAGCCTTTGCCAGGGAAGTCCTACTCACTGCCTTCTAGTGGCGGGGGGTGTTGTTCACGAGATTGAAAGGACAGAAAGCGAGTCTCTGGCGCTTTAACCGGGTTGGTGGACACGAAATGTTCACCTATGGGAGTTGGAAAACCCTGATAACAAATCAATGATGTGCATGCGCTCCAGTATCCTGAGGGAACAACTAGCGTATGAATCAATCGTTGGTCACCGGCTATCATGTAACTGCATCTCACTACGATGCTCCACTGTCTTATGGATCAGATCTTTAGGTCAAAGGCTTTGAGTATGTCCTCCTAAGAAAACCACCTGCTTCAGTTTTGGCACCTGGACAGTATCACAGCCTTCACACAAAGCAAATGAGATATGTGTTGAGCATATATATCTGGTGCTCTTTGTACCAGTATTTATGTGTTTAGATAAAATAAACAAACGGCGGTATTTCCTGTCAGCTGATTAAATTCTAAAGAATAATTTAGAACATACATAGTAGTTTACAAGATTTAACAATAAGTGCATTATAATTTGATGATATATAACTGAAGAAAATTATGTGTTTACGTTTCATCTAAGATTGTACTAGGTATAGAAATGACATCGTTTCTGACTACAAAACTAAGTGATTGCGGTCTGATTTACACAAAACAGTTTACATAAAAATGTTGATAAGTGTTAACTTGTAAAAAACAGAGATAAGTAATCTTATGACAACTTTTCCAAATACTCTGTGTTTGTTTAATTAAACTGTAATTGAGCCACGTCACCATAAACCAACAAAATGATGACAAATATTTTGACGATGAGATTTTCATGTATCAGATAGATTTGTAATAATCTAATGTACTAATCTAATTACTTCATTGGTTTTACATAACTTAAATATTTTAATAGTTAAGATCATTAACCAATTGAAGCTAGACCACCATGGGAAACCTGGAAGCACTGGACGGCTGTTTCGTCTTACTGTCGGGCTCCTCAACAAAGAGCACTCATGATCCCGCCTCGCGAGATTCGAACCCTGTTTCGCGTGCGAGCGCTTAACCTGTAGACCACTGAGCCGGCATTCAACGGTGTTAATGTCTAACATCAACTTATACATTTATCAAAAATATTGCATCCCTGATAAATGTATCGTGTTTTATTTTAACAAGACACCACTTTAATTCCTAGAAAAGATTGTAATATATATATATATATATATATATATATATATATATATATCACTGACTTAGTTCAAGTGTTTTGGTTGAAAAGAATTTTCGTTTATGTTACCTGAGCCTCAAACCAAATGCCCATCAAGATTCCATTATGTCGAAATGGAAAATGCTTTTCATAAAGTTTAATAAAAAATAGGGCTTTGTATTCATATGGAAAAAAATATTTTTTTATTAGTTGAATGTATGATTCGATGAGAGCTAAACCACTATTGAAAACCTAGGAGCTCTAGATGTGTACTTCTGAAGAATCCCATACTATGACAAAACGGTTTTCCAGTGCTTCTAGGTTTTTAATGGTGGTCTAGCTTACATCGATTCATGAATTCAACTATTTAAATTGGTACAATCTCCACAAACTCTATTTTAATAAATGTCTAGTTAAGCTTAGTTTCTGAAGTCTATTAAATTTCTTAATGACTATTGAAAACCAACTAAGAGAGTTAGTAATTAGTACAAACAATAGTAAAATAAATTATGGATCTTCTAATCTTGAGAAAACTCATTAATCATAGGGGCAAATAGAACGATGAATTCGGATAATTCGTTAAAAGTACATAAAAGTCTGCTACATGACTTTCATCCCATAGAAAACTACGAACCTTTCATCAAGATCTTTAAACAAAAACAGATTATCATTTATTTGATAATCATTAGCTTATAAACAATGAAGATTACCAAATTACACTGAGAGTATCTGTGAATCATTGCAAACATCTAACAGGTTAAAACACATATCATAAATATTGTCATTAGTTATCAATATGGTGCTTAATTATATAAAAAGACGTTTGTTTTATGAACAAAGTTTGAGATTGAATGTTGTTTATCTGAATTAACATTATTAATATTATGATATGTGTGTAAATAAGATATTCAATGTTTTATCTAACTGAATGTATGTTAGATTACTGTACAAGAATTAACTAAACAAATCAGTCAACGTGTGGATAGATATCACAAGTTTTACTAATTTGTTTCATCCACTCTCCAAACAAAACGTAGATATACGTTTTCTGAGATTGATAAACTAACTCTCAGATATATATGATAACTACACAAAACATATGACTTATATAAATATATCTGTAATGATAGAATAACAAGAAACCGTATACATAAGTTAAAAACCTACCCTACTACTTATAAAATACCAGTATTACAGAAAAAAGTCTTCCAAATAAATTCACTTAGTATTGTTTGTTTGAATCTTGATTTTCGGGACTGTGATTGATCAGTCTCTAATTGACATATGTGCATACTGTGCTTATTGCCTCGATATAGTCCTAATTCACAAGCATTATAAGCAAAGATGGTTAGTGGCTAGCAGGATTCAACTCTTTCAAGTAAAGTTTACTAAACAACATCTTATTGTTTTTTTTTCAATTTTATATTTCTAAACTCAAACATTATGATGGCAACAAGTCAGAAGAAAAAGAAAACAATTGTGGGTTATATATATATATATCTAAATCTATAAATTACCTGCATGAAATTCCGATTTGTATTCTTGGTTTATGAGGCATTTTATATTACATAATACTTTTTATTTGTTGTATGTTACTTATGTATAAAATTTAAAAAAAATATATAAAATGTATTATGTGTTAATTGAAAGGGGGTGGGTGGAGGTTTAGTAATTCCTTGTTGATAATCTCACTTTTAATACAAATCTAATGAATGAAAGGTCACTTGTTATAGTATATAGATGGATTCATGAGTTGTTTCTTCTTTCTTTTTTTCTTTTTATAATGAATAACCAGTTATTATTATCAATATTGAAATGTATTTTAAATATATCTACAATTGACAGTTGGATAATTATGATGAAATAGATGTGAACTAGTATTTCTTTTTCTTTTTTTTAAAAAAAAAAACAATATTAGCTATTTATATACAATTTCCTAATGAGTTATCATTGACTTCATTTGAATTGGTGGAAATAACTTCTCAAAATTATTGTATCTGATTGGTCAATTCGATTGTTTAATTATTCCTAATAATAGAAAAAAGGAAAATAATTTAAGGACAAAATATTTATTTATTATTATTTTTTCTTTTTTTTTAAAAAAAAACAAAAAAGAAAAATTAAGAGTGATAATTCTATACGATACCGCAGAAATAAATGAGATTCATGTTTCGCTTGGTGTTTTTAAGAAGTATAAATTAAATTCAAGCCTGTTCCACAGCCTAATAGATATCGGGATTCAGTATCTCAGCTAATAACACATAGCAAGAATACTTATTTGATGAGTTCCCAAATAAGACAAAATGAGCATCCTGGAATTGAATGCTATTTACAATTCATCTTTCGTTAAAAACAATTGATGATTATAGCTTAATCAAACCAATCCATACAGGGTATTCTAATGCTAATGAAAACTGACCATTTATAGTCAAGAATAATAACAGCACAATAGTTCAAACATTTATAAATAAAATCATGGTTTCAGAACATTTTAATTCTTAGTACCATATGCACAGTAATTTTAAATTGAAATGAAGCGGAAAATCACCAAACAAATGATTTAATACAGAAAATAAGTTTATATACCTTTGTAGAGTGACATTAAGATAATTATAAATCGGAAACTTTCTCTAATTCATGATTAATCGATTTCCTTAACCTCTGGCAACCTGACAAAGTTAGACAGCTAGTTGGTCATAGTCTGTGACAGTTTAAAAGTGTGTAATTATTACCTAAATTAAATACATGATCATCAGGTTTGGATGGATAAGTTAACTTTTAGACCGTTGAGTAGTTATTCATTAGTTTACATGTCTGATTTCAATTAAATTTGTTTTCTTCTTTATAGGGTGACAATCATTTATTGACATCAACATTTTGTCTCATGAACAAAATGAGTGGATTCCATTAGCCGCAGATTTATTATCTGAACTCGAAGAATCAACTTACATAAAATTTAGTCACAAATAATCAAATGATAATTCTTACTTTACAAGTTGATGAAGATTGTTGAACTTCATAGGGTATATACAATAGACTAATCTTAATTAGGAAGTAAATGAATATAATCCACTTTATCAATGTGAAATTTTCATTATATTTATTTTATAAGATTAGAAGAACATTTCTTTTTTTCTTTTTTTTCTTTTTATTCTATATTGGCAAGAATAGATTAATCAATAAAAGATAAATTACGAAAGAGTTATTTTGTATCTTCTTTAAAGAAACAAAAAAAAAAGAAACAACATGAGCAATGAATATGGTTCAAATAGTAATCACAAATGAACACAACAACACAGTCTATATACATATTTGCCAACAATAAAAAAGAATGACATTAGAAAATGAATGAATATAAAATTATATGTATAGATTGTATAGTTACTATAAAGAAAAGCTAGACAAATTATCTTACAATTATAATCATATAGTTGATTATAAATCGTTTCATATCTTTATACATATTGTACGTCCAAAAAGCGGTAAAGAATACTCCTGAGATCGTTAAGTAGTACGCCTGATTTTTTGTTAAAAGAACTTGTTCCATATCACAATTCATGTAAGATATTATTCGTCTTCATCAAGGTGTACTTTAAACTTTGAGAAGACTAATGCTCTATCGTGAATTTGAAAATGTTAAAGTGTAAGAAGTTGTTGCTGAATTATTCTGATAACGACTAATGAAATCTTGTCAACAATTTCATCAAAATATCTTACCATGTAAGCACTATTGTCATTCAGTAAATGGGTTGATAATATGAATGTAACTAAAATATTACTATTCATAGAATGTTGGATATGTGAAAAGGGTCAACAGATAATTGGTAGATAATGTAACATCTTATCTTCAGATTGTAACATTGAAAAAAATCCAATTTGTATTATTAAATGAAGCATTGATGATTTTGATTGAAGTGGTGTACTTCAGTTATTGTTTTACTTGGATGTAATTCGTTTAATTTAATTCAATGTATTGATTTATTTCATTTTTATGGGTAACCATAAACGGAATACATTACACACATACACACACGCAAACCTATAACTGTTCTTAGTAAAATTTATCGTTTAGATTCACTTAGTATTATTTGTTGGGATGTTCCCATTGATGTTTAGGACTGCAACTGGTCAGTCTCTAATTGGCATATGTGCATACTGTGCTTATTGCCTCGATATAGCTTTAATTCACAAGCATTATAAGCAAAGATGGATAGTGGCTAGCAGTGGAATTCAGGACGCTCGTTTCGTCCTATTTGGGACTCGTCAGCTGGATGTACCTGTATCTCAGAGTTGATGTTCACTATGGGACTCGTTTAGAATTTTGGAAATTTCTAGTGCATTTTTTTAAAGTAAAGAAAATAGTAAAGTTTCAATAACCCTAAAACAATATAAATAATAAAAACATTTGAGTAGTGCTATGTTTAATGAGAATTTGCGTCGATTAAATTATATAGATATTATCAGAAGGGGTTTTGTGGAGATTTAGTATTTTTTCATGGTAGAAAGCATGAGTCAATTGAAGCTAGACCACTATGGAAAACCTGGAAACACTGGACGGCCGTTTCGTCCTATTATGGGACTCCTCAGCGGTGCGCACCCACGAACCCGCTCTTGGGAGATCCGAACCCAGGATTTACCAGTCCCTAGCCGAAGCCCTTAACCGATAGACCATTGAGTTGGTTTATAGTTACCTATGCATTTCGTTTATATAGAATCATAGCAATATATTTTAAAAGAATGTCATATTAATTAAAGTGTGTATTATTTATCTGTGTGGTCTTAGTTTAACTTAGTAACTAATCCGTTTATATACTGTTTGAAGCTCTATGTATATATATTACTAATTCCTTTATCCTATAAAAATGTATTATAATCGTTAATGCTAGTATATTCATTCTGTAAATAAGTGCAAACTACTTTTTTGTTTACGGTTGTATGATTAAAACGATGCAACAAAATTTCCTTTTATGCTTAGAAACTTCTTTTTAAAGTTTAGATTATAAATAAGTGACAAGCGATTGAATTTTGGACAGCTTATGTGTTGTGAAAAATATTTAAAAAAAATTATTTCAATGGTAAGTGAAATTATGGTTCAGTCAATTTCAAAGTTCAATGTTGAAAGTATAAAATCCAGTAAATGTATTTACGTATGTTAAATAATGCTTAATGCTTGTTTCTAGAAATGATCAAACGTCTATTGAGGTAAATCTATTCAACATAATATTTTCGGTACAATATAAAATTCTCAGCGCAAAGTATTTCAACAACTTTCCGTTTCTTATTTCTTGATCAATAATGACGATAAACATTGAGTGGTCGCCAGAAGTCGACAACTGAATAATATTCATTATTTTCAGTGCATATTGCCAGCCATCATAATGTTTCCGATTGCAGATTTTTGTAACTTATACAGTGAAATGTCGTAAACGTTTCACAAACGCACTTTAATAAGTTATGGTCTGTTAAAACAAACAAGGAAACAGATAACTCATTGAAAAAATCTTGATGGCAGGAACAAGTAGCCCAGATATTCAAGCAAGACGCTCGTTCTTTCATGTGCTATTTATCATAAGTTAAAACTTTCGTTTTGATAAACAGCTTAACATAGAAATCAAGAATTCTCTATCATATACTTCTTGTAAACAAATACTCAGTTTCCTGCACCAAGAACAGTAAAATTTCACTCAAAGGATCTTTTAATTTTACAAATGGAATGGTAGGCTTTGAAAAATTTAGTATGCTGCTATTTTAGATTGTATAACGCAACCATAAGTAGCCCAGTCGATAAATAATATTCTAAAATCCATATTACTTAACCATTCGATCTTTCTACGGAGTTTCACTATAGGAAACCGTATCCTAAATGAGAATCATTTCACATGAAACATTCTAAACAATATTTTATCGGTTAGAATAATTCAACTCGAACCATTGATTTTATAAATATTTAATAGTGGTAATACAACAATGTAGTAGTTAGATGGCATTGTTAAATATAATATATCTACTATTCATAACTGAGATCACTTCAGTTTCATCTTTTTTATCATATTTATTGATTTGTATAAAAATTGGCGCATAACCCACTATTGATTAATCATAATTTAGATGATAATGATAATATATCTATGTTAAGTATTCATGAACGCCTAACACGATATTAGGTCATTTATTTTAGTGGACACATCGTAACATGATTAACGAAATTTAGTCATCATTAACGACTAGGACAACACCATACTAGTTATCCTAATAGTAAATAATAGGAATCTATATCCAACAAGCATAGCGGAATGATAATCTTTCCGATGACTAAAGTTAAATTTGATATGGTCGAAATTCCATGTGATGCACAAATAAATAAACCAAAATTATTCTATAGGAAAGAATTAATAAGTGGGATGAAAATTATAGTTTAATTTAAAAACTCTAGGACTAGGAGAATGCGAAGAGTGAATGGATATAAGACATAGAAGCAGGAATCTCAGTCATTTCACCTAAAATCTTCGACCATTGATTATGAAAATCGAACAGATCTCAATCAGATAGTTTGAACCTATTAACATGACCAAGATAAATAGTCAGTAACTTCATGGATTGATGTTACAAATTCATTCAACCAACTCTAGCTATCTTCCACTCAACTCAAATACCAACAAGAATTATTTTCAAAAGTATGAACTAATATAAAATGTACTCCGATTCAAATGTGCTCATACTGACATTTACCAGTAATATAAACTATCGCAAGGGGTTTTGTTGAGATTTCAGTATTTCTATAGTTGAAATAATGAGTCAGGCGAAGCTGGATAACCATGGAAAACATGGAAGCACTGAACAGCCGTTTCGTCCTATTATCGGACTCATCAGCAGTGCGCATCCACGATCCGGCATTCGCGAGATTCGAACACAAGACCTACCAGTCTCGAGCCAGTGGTCTATCGGTTAAGTGCTCTGATGCGAGACTGGTAGGTCCTGGGTTCGAATCTCACAAGTTCCGGATCGTGGATGCGCACTGCTGAGGAGTCCCATAATAGGACGAAATGGCCGTCCAGTGCTTCCATGTTTTCCATGGTGGTCTACCTTCAATTGACCTATGATTTCAACTGCGGAACTATAATATATAATAAATTTAATATACACTTTTTCGGTAGTTTATAAAACTTACTCTTATAGAGAAAAAAGTGTTGATTCATATTCATCAAAATATGAAATTCTTTAGTTACAAACAATCCTAACACCTTGGTAACGTTATCAAGAATAAAAGTTCACGAAACTATGGGGTAATTAATTATTAGTATTATTAGAATTAGAATTATTATTCAATAACAATAGAATGAAATAAGATAATAAATGGGAAATAGTTGATGTACTACCGATCACAATTTGTTTGTTTGTTTTCTACATAAAAGGGAAACAATTGTTATCTTTCCATTTTTAGTTATAAAAATGCTTTAATAATGAATATTAACATAAACAATAAGAAAAAAATATAACAAGATGGCTGTACATTGAAGCAGTCCGGTAATAGATACCCATATTTCAACAAAGATTAATCAAAATTCAGTCTTGAATATCAAAATTGGGTTAATGATTAAAAAAAATTATGGTTGTTGAGCATGGTCGTCTAAACTTGGTGACTCATTGGATAAAATATTTTGCGTTTGAAGCGAAAGGCACTCAATCCGAGTTCTAATTTGAGCTCCGCAGCAATCGAGGTACAGATAGATGATGAACCCCGAAGAGGACAGAACGTGATTAAAGTAATTTACTGTTAGTTATAATTCATATGTTCTAGAAATAAGAAAGTCTATTAAAATTGGTATTCGAAGAGTTCATACACACTTGTTTGCTAACGTTCAAACTTTTTTTAATGAAACTGAGATCAGTACATAATTTGTTATTATAACCAAGTTTTAAGAATTTCCTTCGTCCTATTATCGAACTCCTCAGCGGTGCGCATCCACGATCTCGCCTCGCGAGATTCGAGCACGCGAGTGCTTAACCATTAGACCATTGAGCCGGCATCCAACGGTGTTAATGTCTAGCTTCAACCAATCTATGAAGTT